GTATTAAAAATAAAACGTATGCACACACACACGAAACAACAGAAAACAACATAACAACAACGGCCTCCGCTCGCCACCGTCCCTAAGAACCCGCCGTTGCAATCTCATATAATGTCCGATGCCCGAACCTTTTTGCTAAAAGGGGTCCACAACGGGTGTGCCATGGGTGATCGGATCCAGTTGCAATCTCATACAATGTAGTCCGGCTCGCGAACCGGCGCACTGGGTGGGGGGGGAGGGGGGAAGGGGGCTGAAGTACGTATCCCGCTCACTACGAACTATGCAGTGGCCATAATCAAGTGCACAATTTGCATGTTGATGGGCCCGGAGCACTCGAACAGACCTGGAGTTTATTCTGAGTTGCCGACCGAAGGCCGCTTCAAAAGGCTACCGTGAAGATTGCCTACAAGGGAGAATTTCGAACACCGTTGGTGTGCTGGGGTGGTTGGGGTTAGGTGGTGTGTGTGTGTGTGTGTGTGTGTGTGTGTGTGTGTGTGTATGTGTGTGATGGGTCCAGTACTCCAAGCGATGGCAGTTGACCCATATCACTGCCCACTTAGTAACACTTACCAATGATTGTTTCGATTTATTCTTATTTATATCGCTCCAACATGAATTCCGGCTTTGTTACAAAAAGTGAACAATCAAAAGGTTCACTTTTAACAAAATGTGTATTGTGAGAAACATTGCGTGTCCTCTCCCCACCTGTGCATGTCTGTCTTCCGCTACTTATTTTCACCTATGTGCAGTGTGGACTCTGTCTCCTCTCTCCCCTTCTCTTATGCATGTATGGGCATGTGTGAGATTGTGTGTGTGTCAGTGGCGACAAAATTCGTCAGGCAACCAAGTTCATAACAGTGAAGACTTGTGCTCATTCTGGTTGTTGACGATGCATGTTGTGAACACACTGATGTTTTCATGGTGTGAAGACTTCTGCCATTGTGAGATACACAACAAAGAGAATATGTGGAGAGGACTTGTTCTTACGTGGACTTCGCAATTCGTGTTGTTGATGATGAGCGCAGACAGCGCCGAGCAGATAACTTCTGGTAACGAAGGGGACGTGATACTTTGTTGAGCGTTGAATCCAGAAACTCTTGATTGTCTTATTGGATACTGGTTATAATGATGCTCATAACACATCAATGACCGAGAGTCTGTGTGTGTCTTAGAGTTTGTGAGAGTGTGTGTGACACATTGTTCACTAATTCTCTGCCTGTTTGTGTTGTGTTATGCGCCGCACGGTTGAACCACCGAAGCAAAATTGTCGAACCAAAATCTGCGTCTTCCCAAGCACTCAGTGTACAGTGTACGCCGTTGCTTTCGTCGAGGAAGGTATCGTTTTCTGCGTACCTTGAAACTCAAGCCTTCCCTCACTCTCTTGCTCCTATATCCCATGTCCTGCTCTCCCTCTGTTTCTTTTCTTGTCCCTACAGCAAGCACACTCCCAACTAAAACACACTGATGGTGTCTGCGGTGGTGACGGGAAGTGACTGTGAAACTTCCCATGTTTGACATTCCATGGCGTTGGTATGACACAGGGACATACACACGGACATACACAGGCACACAGACATACACAGACACACTTACATACACCCATACACACACTGACACAGACACAGACACAGACACACAGGCACACGGCCATACACAGACATACACACACACATATGCACACATACATACACACATATGTACACAAATACACAGACAGACACACAGAGACACACAGAGACACACACAGACACACCCAGACACACACACAGAACACACACAGACACATACACAGACACACACAGACAGACACACACAGTCACACACAGACACATACACACGTAGACACACACACACACACACACACACACACGATGTTGGCGGAGGACTATTCCGTCTTAGGTAAGTTGTACTCTGCCCTCCATGGCTTTATGAATGAATGGTTCCTGGCCTTGTAATATGTACAATGCTTCACATGAAGGTCATAAATGGGGGTGTCGGAGGAGTTGACTACTTCATGCCGGATTCATTTCGATGTCAATGATTCGAATAAAAAACCCACTAGCCAACCCTCGTATGATGCCCGTCTACTGATTGGCATCATTGAACGACCGCATACTTCGAGCAGAGGGACACACATACAACATTAAACAAACCCTCACGGAGCTTGAAATCATCGTTTTGCCGTTCTACTTATAGACACATAGACAAAAGCACAACCATCATGTCGATGTCAGCGGCGCAGGCGAGGACAACTCTTAAAGAGGTGATGCAATACGCGGAGGAGGGCATCCACTAAGATGACGACGGGAAGCTCCGACTACTCACGGAGAGAGTGCCGAGTTACTTCGATGTCAGAGTGAACATTCGTGCAAGCATCGCTGCGAATGGAGAGGAGTCACTCAGAGCACGGATGCTATTGGCACGGTTCACTGAGGCGCATGATTTGCGTGTAGACAACACTGCTGATAGCAGTGCATACAGTTTGAGAAAAGTGGTCGGTTGGATGTGCACAGAAGGGATGTCCGATGAAGGCGACGTGGATATGACAAAGCAGTTGAAGGGTGGAACATACATGTCAGCCGATTTCAAGCAGATGATGATGACACAGGCGAAGAAATGGGGAATGCTTGTTGAAGGTTCTAAGGACGAAATGAAGAGCGGTGCAGCAAAAATTTTAGTACTCTCGCGTTTGAAGGACATAGTGCAAGCTTCCCCGCAAGACTTCCAAGAACTTCCAGTAATTATTGCAAACGGGGTGAAGTATGTTTTACTCGACCAACTGGTGGATTTCATGAAAAAGAAACCTGACGATCGCAATGTCATACATGAGGCATTGCATGATGTGATAGAGCAAGCACTGACGGGCAAGGACCTCATTACGTACAGGGTGCGGAGTATGGACGATGATGTCGTATGTGGTACTCCATTGTGGGATGGAATGTTCATGGCAGCTTTGCATCGCCTCAGCATTGCGACTTCTGAGGTGGACAGAAATAGGTCAAGGGAAGAAGGATGGAAGTTGGTGGCCAGGGAAGCAGATGTTGCACTTTATGCAGCAGATGGACACGCTTCAACAGGGGAAGAAATTGTGAGAACAACCTCCATCGTGCGTTCTCCAATAAACACAATGTCGAAGGAGGAGGTAGAAGAAGAAGATGTGTTCAATGACTGGACAATGACAGAACAACAACGGGAACGAGGGTTCGAAGACTCTACTTTACCGATCGATTTCGAATATGAGATTGAAGAAACAAGAGTGATCAACAATGAAAAAGATGAGAGAGCGCCTAACAATAAGGTGGAAGTGAGTGGCAGCGATGTGAGGAGCGACGAGGAGGGTGAGGAATATGATGCATTTTGGGATATGGAAGCAGGGGGAGGACAAGCGTCAAAAAGGTGGGCACATGCGATTCTAAGGTTGGCACGTGTATTCTCTAATCCCCATTTACTGTTGCGTGTCGTGCTGAACGAAGCAACACATGCGGGCGCACTCCAGTATGCAACACTGACGACTATCATGAGATCATGCTCGAACGGAAAAAGATGGTCACGAATGGGGAAGTCATGGTTTGTCTTGGTCAACAGAGAGGTTGTCATCGCAACATCACTTACGTGGGGCCTGGACCTTAGTTGCCTCCTGCACGGGGCTGTAGCCAGCGATTCTGGTGCTACATTGCACCCGACACTATCAACAGGAGAGGAAATACTTCGTGCTCACACATGGCTTGACTGCGTACCAGACACCATGGTGGACAGCGGTGATACAGATATTGGTAGTGGACAACGTTGAATGCAACTGTTCGATGCACAGGCTATGCATATCATGATTAATTCTGCACTGTGCGGTCACGGAGTGTGTGCAATATTTCAGGTGTTCGAGTTCTCGACAAGGGTGTACTCTCTCTCTCTCTCTCTCTCTCTCTCTCTCTCTCTCTCTCTCTCTCTCTCTCTCTGTGCGAGGGTACAACAAAAAAACGTTTATCTTTTATAAATGTTTCAACAAATCCGCACTTATTCTGGTATAAATGATTTTCTTTTGTAAATGTTTCAACAAATCCGCACTTTTATAAATGTTTTTCTTTTATAAATGCTTTCTCTCTCTCTCTCTCTCTCTCTCTCTCTCTCTCTCTCTCTATATATATATATATATATATATATGTGTGTGTGTGTGTGTGTGTGTGTGTGTGTGCGTGTGTGTGTGTGTGTGTGTGCCTGCCACGTGTGTATGTGTGTGTGTGTGTGTGCGCGCGCGGTCAGGAAGCGAGGATGTGACAATGTGAAAGAAAATGTGGCACGCCTGGAAGAAAAAAAAAAGAAAAAAAAAGGGCGAAATATTCACCACAATTCTTGATTTTAATACCGCTTGGAATGTTGTCGTTGTCTTGGAACCTGTCAGCAATGCACAGCAGCGATGTCGAGTCGAAGGGAGGGAGAGGGGGGACGGGGGCGGGGGGAGTGTGAAAGGAACTCATGAATTTCACACCGAACGCGCATGCTCCATCTGCGATAGGTATTAAGTGACATCACTTTGCATTTCTCGGACGTAGTTGCAATGGATGGCGCGAGTCACGTGTGTGACTGTGGGCGGCCTTTCATGTCATTACGGATGATGAACTCACACCGAGCTCAGACATGTCCATCCGCTGTGGAAGACAGGAGGACGGCACAAGAGATAGTTGGGGGGGTTATCGGTGGACCGTCAAATAGTGGTCCCATTAATCTGGTCAGTGGGGAAAGCGAGGAGGTTGAGCCCCCTCCCGATGTAGAAGCAGACTGCGCATCCGAAGAACAGCAACAACAACACACAGAGCCATTTGTCAGATCCCGCAAACTTGCGGCACTGATTTTCTCATGTAGGGGCGGTGTCGGCATGTCCCAAACTGACGTTGGCTGTCTGTTGTCACTCCTCAAGAATCCTAGATTCGACCCAAGAGATATCGCATTTCAGAACAGTCGTGAGTGTCTGACATGGGCAAGCCGCCAGGCTGAGGCTGCAGGGTGGCAAGAGATCAATCTACGCACTGATGATTGGCCAGAAGAAGCGCACGCCATTTTGTGGTACCGCGACTGGCGCACAACGTTCGCTGACCTTGTATGTGCTGCACTGCACAACGTTGAAACGGTTTCTTGCCTCGAAATAGAACCTCCCGGGGAGGGGATGAACATATGTGGCTCTCACACGGGCCAGTTGAGCCACCATGTCCAAACTGTTATCAGAGCGGACAAGGGTATGGACACGAATGGCAAAACACGTTATGGCATCCCTCTGTCTTTGTATTCAGACAAGACTCATGTAGACGGTCGCCAAGAGAAGTCAGCGTATCCTCTGATGATGTCAATAGCCGATCGCGCATCGGACGCCACACTCCTTGCGTATCTTCGTGTGCTTCAACATTGACCACGTGACAAGGGCTGGGGTCTGCACTCCACCGCGTTTAGAAAACGGAAAGCTGTGATATTGCATAAAGCGTTGTCAACAGTATTGCGGTCCGGAAAGGAGGCGTCCCATGATGGCATGATAGTTACAACGGAGTGGTTCGGCGAGATAACAGTCCACCCTTTCGTCATGAACTATATACAGGACTATCCCGAAAGGTGTGCCCTTACAACTGTGAAATTCGGTGTTTGTCCAACATGCACAGTGTCCAAAGACGATTTCGATGTCATCGCCGATTTCAGAAACTGCAGGAAGTCGCAGAAGCTAGAGACGCAACTTGTTGCGAACTGCTTCAACAATGGGGACAACGATATTCGTCGTGCCGCAGAGGCACGAATGTCAGAATTGAACATGCATAAGCATGTTCAAGAGAACAACCTTTGGGGATTCTACAAGGGTCCGAATGGTGAAGATCCTCAACTAGATTACCATCTCGCTTTGCAACCGGACCGTATGCACACCATTGAACACGACATTTTCTTGCATATGATAGATGCATTCAAGGTAGCAACTTATAAGAAGTTGTCGGATATCGCGCAAACCGAGACATTGCACGAGATGGATGCGAGGCTGCAGAGCATTTGTGAGAGATGTGTGAGGACATACCCGCAACTCGTGTTGCCTGTGGCCACAGGTTGTGATTTCTTTTCAAGGGAAGGACGTTTTGAAGCGAAGCAAAATCGGTCTGTTATGACAGTTTGTGTGTTTATTATTTGTGATATCATCCCACGTGCGACAAACAAATCCATTTGCACTTGTTTTATCAAACTCATGGAAATGTACATACACGTGTTTCGTAAGTGGACCCACACTGCGACTTCTCTCGATGTATGTGACGCATTGATAGGTGATTTCATAACGAGTATAAAAACGAAGATGGAAAAATATCAAACCTCGGATTGGAAAATTTCGAAGTTGCACGACCTTATGCATCTGAGAACATGCATAGAGCGATCCGGTGTCCCCGACACCTTCGCGGCTGATGTGTGGGAGCATCATCATCAGAGGTTCTGCAAACAACCATATCTGGCATCGAACAAGCGCAAGGCCGCTTCCCAGATGGTGAATCATGTCCAACGCTCATTGGCTTTGCAGGATGAGATGGAGATTGTGAGAAAACGAAGAAAGAGGTCGGCAGAAAATTGGTCATCCGTGACAGACTGCATGACCACTGTAATTAATACCCTCGCTGCGTGCGACACAGCAACTCTACAACTCCGGTGGTTCCAGATGGACGGTGTGCATTTGCCGGAGGTGGAGGGTATAAGCAACGCGGCGTTGAGAATACTTAACGAGCTTCCCTGCAGAGAGGATTTTCGAGCTGCGCTCACGACGTTCATGACGGAGAATGGCTGTCAACCTCCCTCTGATGACCAAGTGATACACACTCGAACACACTTGACTATCGCCGCCACACACTACGGGATGCACAGGGGTGCAGGCGTTCAAACGGCAAGAGCTTCACCACAGTTCCACGGGAGAGCCGTGCACAGCGATGTTGCAGTGAGAGGAGGGTATGCATCGGTAGCCATGTTTTTCGTCATGAACACTTGCACAAGGGGTGTGGTGGAGATGCAGACGTGTTGTTTTGTGCAATGGTACAAAGAGGTGGATAGCGAAAGGGAACACACAACAGGTTGTAAGAAGTTGCAATGGGAGAAGGTAAATGATCATCAACACATTAGCGTCATAACGATTGACACCATCATCGAGACCGTTCACATTGTTCCTCGTTTTTGTAAACCACAGTGAGGCTCGAAGAAGCATGCAAAAGAGAGGGAGGACAATTTTTTGTTGAATAGATATATACTCTAGAAGTGTACATGGAAATAGAAAAAAACAAAAAAA